AAAGCCGGAAAATCTAAAATAGCGGCAAGAGCAAAAGAAAACACTCCAGTCATACAAAACATATTATCGAGCCAGGTTAAAGCGCCAGATCAAAGTACTCTTAAGGATAACATAAAAATTAAAGATGGTAACCATGACACAAAAGAATTGATCTCCAAAGGCGAGAAGAAAAACCGGAAAGGTAGTAAAAAAGGAGCTGAAAGATCAACCTTATATTACCGACGATAGCCACGTTAATCATAACAAATCTGATACTAAGACTAAGCACAAGAACAAAGCAGGCAAGAATATGAAAGAAGGTAACGGAGAAAGCGCAGGGAGTAGAGTTCAGCAACAAACGAATGTTCCGAGCGATGACACAAAAGAGAAAATAAATATCGTCGACGAAAGCAGCTCGATGGAAATTGCAAAATTATCGGACACTCAAAAGGCTTCGTTGGAAAATATAATTGAGAGACCAAGCGTGACTACGAAAGCCGAAAGCACGACAAGACAGAAAGACACGTCGAAGAAAGAACCATCATCGAAGAGCAAAACAAAGTCGAAAGAACTGAAGCTTGAAGTCGAGGGTAATAATAAGAATCGGGAGAAGTTGGAAAACGGTGTTAAAGAGATGCTCAAAAATAGTCCTCCCGAATCCAACAAATCGCTGGTTGATACTGAAGTCAAAGATCCTGAGCCAAAAGTGCTCGACAGCGCAAAAGTTGTTGAGGTAAACGGCAACGTGAAAGGTAAAGCTAGCTAATTCTCGCAAGAAAGATAAAGCCTCAAAAATAGAAACAGAAGTCATTATCGATCTTACGTCATCGACAGTGCCAACAAGCGAAGTTTTAAATGAAACGAAAATTTTAACGTGTTCAGATAACGCAAAGAAAGTGATTGTCCCGAAACCAGAGCAAATAACCGAAGAAATTTTGAAAATTATAGAGACGCCAACAACAGTTACTATGGAGACCGATTTTAAAGAAGAGCCCAAGGAAATCGTCTTGTCGCCTAAAATAAATTGGCAAACTGAAGAAATAATACAAACTGATATCATACATAAGAATGATAAAATAGAGCGCAATGAAACTGAAGCTAAGGAGTCGATTGAAAACAAAAGAATGGAGTATCGTCAAACGGACGCTAAATTAAAAATAGATAAGGGCAATGTCTCCAGAGAGTCCAGAGAAAATAGGTGAGAATAAAGCTTTCATTAGTGATACGAACGATGAAAAAACTGAGAAGCGAGAAACGCAGAAAGGTCAGACGAAAACAGGCAAC